TGCTGTCCATCTATAACTACAAAAAAATTAAAAATAAAGTACATGGGAAGATGTGTGTAGATTCTATGTAAATACTATGCCATTTCATATAGGAGACTTGAGCATTGTGGATTTTGGTATCAAAGCGGGTCCTGAAACCAGTCTCCTAAGGATACCAAGGAATAACTGTACTTATAAAAACTGCAGTTAAATATTACACCAAAAGAACAAACTATAAATATACTGAACTTTAATTGTAGCATGCATGCTGTAGTATTTGGAGTATATGGGTACTGATATCTACAATTTAATTTGAAATGCATGCAAAAAAAAAAAATCATATAGCTGGGTGCAGTTACCCACATCTGTAATCCCAGCAATTTGGAAGGCTGAGGCAGGAGAGAATCCTGGGAAACAAAGAATGACCCTTTCTGCCCCCCCCCCAAATTAGACTCACAGATTAATAGAGGAGATAGCGATGTGATAAAGCCGAGTAAAACTGTGCTGATAGCCGATATATTAGCATACACTGTAAAATCTTTTTAACTTTGCACCTTATTTGATGTTTTCATAATCAAGTGTTAGAAAGCAGGAAGTTTAAAAAGTACCTTGGGGAACAGACATTCTAAAAATGCCTGCGCTACTTACCGTCTTGTCCAATGGCCTGGTGCAGACAGCTCAGATAAGCAACCTTCTACATCTTATAGAAAGGCTAAGCAGATGATGCCCTCACCTCAGCACCTTAGACTAACCCTACGGGCATCTTCCCTGTTATGCAAGGCATTGCCAAGAGAAAGGAAGCACAAGAGAAAGAAATGGATCAATGGGACAGGCACAGGGAGGGGAGGATGGGGAGGCTGACAAGAAAAAGGCATGAAGGCTGAGGAAGAGAAAGGGTGAGGCCAGTGCTGGAGATGACATAGCAAGGAGCCATCATGGCAGTGCAAAGGGCATGGGCCTTCTTCTTACATGAACTTTGGCTCTGTAATTCATTAGCTCTATGAACTTGGGGAACTTACTTAGGTTTCAACTTCCTCATCTGAAAAAGTAAATAATAATGACTTCATCAGAGGACTGGCAAGGATAACATGAGAAAAAATATGGGAAAACACATTTATTGGTTGTGGCTATGATTAGCCTCATCGTGTGGTTATGTGGCCACATTTATTTATCCAAACTGATTCCTTTTTTCTGGCTTTGAGAATGCCAGCAGATCCCCACTGGGCAATCCATGTGAGAATAAAATTGGGGGTGAGGGAGAGATAGAAAGCATAAAAGATATAACATTCATTCTAGGCCTTCCTTTTTCATTTACCATAGATTCACTGGGGCACGTGGTCTTTCCTATCTCATGATGGTAATTTGTCCCAACCTTTTCCTGCCAACCTCTTGCCTGACTAGAGATTGCTCATCTGTCAGGTCTCAGTGAAACTGCATTTCCTAAAAAGAGTCATGCTACATCTTTCTGTTTAGAGATTTTCACAGCACCCTGTACCTCTCCCCTGAAAGTTAAGACAACTGTTATTTGAGAATTATTTCTAATGAAGCTCACAGAAGGCAAACAAACAAACAAAAAATCAAAAACCTGTTGTGGCACTGTTTCCAGTGTCTAACAGAATCTTAATATGTGCCAACTGATCATTAAATGGATAGCTATTATTAAAAAAAGAATTATTTAACTGTCCAAGAACAAAGAAAATAATTAAATGGGTTATAGCATAATCATAAGATAGAATATTACATATCAACTGTTTTCAAAGAATAAATCTGTAAACAGTTTTTGTGTGTAAACAGATATATATATGTATGTGTGTGTGTGTGTGTGTGTGTGTGTGTGTGTGTATATATATATATATATATATATATATATATATATATATATATATACATATACACATACACACATATATAGGAAAAAAGACATAGAGAAAGATATCCAAATATTAGCCAGGATTATTACCTGAACTATAGGGAAATAAATTATTTTTTACTTTACACTTTTACTGTATACAATAAACACAAATTATGTTTATAATAAAATTATGTTTTAAAGAAGGGATAATTCCTTGATTCAGTAGTTCTTGACTCTGAGGAATTAAATCTGAGATGTTGATATATAGTGATGTTCCCAGTTACACTACATAGAACAGCAAAAGCATGTAAAACAATGTATAGAGGTACAGAGTAGAGAATAAGTTATGTCCCATCCCTAGTGTTAAATGTATCAGTTTTTTAAAATAAGACTGTATAAGAATGTTAAATACCATGAAAAATACTTAAACAGTCAAGAAATTACCAATCAGGTCCTGAAATACGCCCATTTGGGTATACAATTTCAACTTTTATGATTTTTATTTGGAATCTCTCCTTCACCTCAGACCACATTTCCTCAAACTTGCCAATACTAGGCCCTCCAAGCTTCCTGGATGCATGATGCATCTGGGGGAAGAAGGCCTCTGGGCAGGTTCACTAGACTTCATGAGCTTGGCTCTTGACCCAATCAGTTCTCCATATGGTCTTGTGGTTTGCTACGTTAGTCTGATCTTAATCTTATTTGTATTTGGCTGAGTTTCAATGATTTCTTCTTAGTGTTTTTCCTCCTTTATTTCCCCACAAATGATTCAGCCTTATATTACTGAAGATTGGGATTGAACTCATGATTTCATATACACTAGGAAAGTGCCTTCAATTCCAATGCGGTATGCACTGCCTCCAACTCCAATTCAAATTTATTTAACCACGTCTTGTGAGGAGTGAGGAATACCCAAGGGCCAAAAAAACCCACAATGAATTTAGGTTAGAAAGCCATATCATAATGGCATGTTACAGAGTATTAATGAAGGCAAACTAGCCATTATTAGTTCCATAACTAATTTCAACTAATTGCATCCTTTTAATGGGATTTGTTATTGTTTTGAGATAAACTCATATTAATCGAAGGATGCAGGGAAGCATTTTTTTCCACTAAAATTAATGAAAATTTCCAAGAAATTTCTCAATTTACCCTCTAAGTCAGGATAAGTTTAATTATCAAAATAAGCATATTTACCTTTAAATGGTTAATCTAATTAATTTTCCCCCATTTTCCATACATAATGAAGTGTGACAAAAAAATGTTGATTGTCTGCCAGTGTCTCACTTCTCTGCTAATGGAACTCTGATTTTACTCAGGTATCCAACAAGACCAGAAGGCTTCTCCAAGGTTCTCTGATTATAACAGCCTAATGCTTTGCCTAGAAAGAGTTGAGCAAGGAAGAGCCAAATGTCCACCAGCAAAAGACAAAATCAAAAAAGTATTTAAGCAAACATGATCATATTATTGGCACATTATGACCCTGTGAAGTCAATTTTATTATCATCATCATCACCTTTTCAATTTACAAGTGAAGGAACTTAAGATTCAGTGTTAAATAATTCACACGAAGTGGCAGATCCTAGACTCAAACCTTGTCCCTTCTCTCAAAATTCCAAATCAGTTCTCCTATGACATGCTACTTCTCATGACCAATAACTTGTTTTTGGAAAAGTCCAGATACAAAGATCCAATCTTACAGTCTTTCCTGTCTATATTAATATGCATTTTGAAATATGAGGAGTGTACAAACTAATTTTTAAAAACATGAAAAATATGGTCCAAAATTGATATTCTATACATTAATATAATCAGCTATTTCTGCCAGAATATAATATCCAACCAAAGCACAGGAAGCTATATTTTCAAATTCCAGATCATATAGGTGGTATTAACACATTATGTACAAACAGTACCTTGCCCAGTTTGGAAGTTGACACTTCTTAACACTCATTAATAATCACAATCCTGGAAGTATAACATATCTCTAGGACTCAATATATTGCAGATAGGAAACTATAATTAAATTTGTTACCGCTGTTTTCTCTAAATTCCATTTTAAAATAGGCTAGTCTTACTTTTGTGTATAGAAGAGCTACAGTATTCCACTTTTCTAAGTGGCCACCACTGCCTCCTTATTCTTCACAAAATATAGATGAGTAAAAAGTCACTCTACATTTCCAAGTTCATTCCCTGTCTTGGTTTCTTCAGGTGTAAATCAGGTAAGAATTAATAAGTGGTCTCAAAACTAAAGGATTTATGCAAAGTTCCTTGATTCAAACAGCTTCATGCTTTGCTCAGGAGTCCTAAGCAAGGAGGAGTCAAATAAACAAAGGCAATCAGAATGAACCCGTACCTCCACCCACTCATTCTTGGCGAGGCTGATCAAAGCTTGTGGGAACATGATGCCGTTTCTTCTTTTCCAAACCCTGAAGAGGATCTGTAGCACTTCATAAAAGCAAATGCCATCAAAGAAGTCACCCACAGTTGGGACAATTCATCCCTTTTTTGTCGCTGTAGCTGTGGACCGCTCCTTCCGCATTTGCCATCTCACATCTAAGATTATACCCAAATGCTTCAGGTTGTCTTTGCAACCTTCTGTAAGCCCAAGTGCAATTAGTTAAAGGCCCTTTCAAAGGGTTGATAAGAAGTCGCAGCTAGGGACATTTATATTATGGCAAGAGCACGGCACTTTCTCTTACAGATAACTGCAATAATACCTCATCACCCCCACCAAAACGATAAACATAAAGCGTCTGCTCCATTGTGTCACCATAACCGTGGGTCAGACACCTGGCCTTGTCGCGCCATGAACTTAAACCCCTACAAGAAAGGCGCGCCCAGGGCTGGAAATGTGGCTCAAGCGGTAACGCGCTCGTCCCGCATGCGCGGGGCGCCGGGTTCATCCTCAGCACCACATACAAATAAAATAAAGATGTTGTGTCCACCGAAAACTGAAAAATAAATATTTAAAAAAAAAAATAGTGCCTAGGGCGCTTGCCTGCCGGAGCCCGCTAACAGCTAGGCCCGACTTCCCGAAACCCTCGGGCTCCAGAAACCCCGCCCACACCCCCGCGACTGCGCGGCCACGCCCCTTCCGGGAAGCCCGCCGCGGAGAAGAGCAGTGACCGCCCAGCCTGGGTGCAAAAGCTCCTCTAAAGCTACTTACTTTCGTTTCCGCTGCAAACTTCCTGAGGCCCAGGTGAGGGACTGAGCCGCGGTAGGAAACTCGGGAGTCACTCCGACACCGCAGCAGCCTCGCCGGAGAGGGCTGGGGAGCGCGCTCGAGCCCCGACGCGGGTACCACTGGGGACCGAGCTCAGCCGGTCGCAGTGACAACCCAGCTGAGTGACAGCCCGCGCCTTCCACCTCACCGCGCCCTGGCCCGCGCCTCCGTTGTCTAGCAGAGTCCAGCTTCACTTAGTGTTCCGGTCCAGCACCGATCCCGGAGATGCGGGCCGGCTGGACAGCCGCGCAGCGGACGCTAGGCAAGTGGCCACGCCGACCGCGCCTTATAATGTGGAGCCGTGACGTGACGTACTCGAGGGCGGAAACGGTTCTGTCTCCACCCTTCGTGTGCAGCCCGAGTGAAAATCAGATCATTCTCTGTTTTCCCGCCAGGTGGCTGATATTTCTTGAATACAAATTCCTGAATACAAAGTCACACAAAATAATGAGACACTCCAAATTCCATTTTAAAGGATCGCGCCTCAGCCTTGTTTTCAAGCTAGTTTCGAAGAGAAAAGAGGAAATCTCTGCAGAGGAGAGAGCTTGGCCTAGAGGAAAGCCCTAGGTGGGTTCCAGTGGAGAAACCATACCAGGGGGGTTCCCAGCTTGTGGGTTAGGTATGCTAAAACCATAGGCAAATTACCATTCATCTGTAAAGTGGGGCTGTCGAGGAAGAACTGGGATGATTACTTCCAGCCTTTTTTTTTAATTGTTTTTTTTTAAGAGAGAGAATTTCTTTTATATTTATTTATTTTTTTAGTTTTCAGCGGATACTACAGCTTTGTTTGTATGTGGTGCTGAGGATCAAACCCTGGCTGCGCGCATGCCAGGCGAGCGCGCTACCGCTATAGCCACATACCCAGCCCCTACTTTCAGCTCTTTAAAATGGTAATTGTGAAGACTCAAGCAAAATAGAAATGCTTGCGATTAGTTATAGGAAGTTATAGGGCGCTCAGTGGTAGAGCACTTTCTTAGCATGTGGGAGGACTTGGGTTTGATCCTCAACACCTAAAGGTAAATTTTTTAAAAAGATACAGAATTGAGCTGGTGTTATGGCTCGGTGGCAGAGCGCCTGCCTAGCATGTGTGAGGCCCTGGATTCAATCCTCAGCACCACATAAAACTAAATAGATAAAGGTCCATTGACAACTAAAAAAATAGTTTTAAAAAAGTTACACAAGTATATATAGACAATGATTACATATTGTAAAAACGATTTATGTCAAGAGAATGAGAAAATAAGCCACTGACATGAAGAAAATATTAATATACATACCTGATAAAGGTCTCTTATCTCCTACCCCCAGCAAAAAAGAGAAACCTGTCAAAAGCAACAATAAAATGCACAATCTGATTTAAAATAAGCAAAAGATCTGAACAAATGCCTTGCCATGCAGATAAGCACATAAAAAGATGTTCAACATCATAAGTCATTAGGGAAATGCAAGCTAAAAAATGAGCCTTTCACTCTGGCTCCAGCAGGGGGATGGAGACAGAACACTTAAAAAAAATGTGTGTGTATATATATATATATATTTTTTTTTCAATAGACCTTTATTTTGTTTATTTACATGTGGTGCTAAGAATTGAATCCAGGGCCTCAAATGTGCTAAGCAAGTGCTCTACCACTGGGGCCCAGAACACCTCTTAGAATGGCTAAAACCCAAACAACAGTTCATCCCCTGCAAGTGTGCAAAATGTTACAGCTACTCCAGAAAGTAGTTTGGCAGTTTCTTACAAAACTCAATAGTCTTCACTGCATGATTCATCAATTGCACACTTGGTATTTGACTTTTTGCAGCTTAATTCATAATTGACAAAAAAATGAAAGCAACCAAGATATCCTTCAATAGTGTGTGATTGGAAAAGCTGTGGTACATTCATTCAATGGAATATTATTCAGCACTAAAAAGAGATGAAAAAAAAAAAACATGGAGAAATCAAATGCATATTTCTGTGAAAGAAGCCAATCTTTCATATGAATCAGACCAGGAAGGGGTATCTATATATACAGAGAGAGAGAGAGAGAGGAATGTCGAGGAAGGAGAGGAGGGAATAGAGGATAGACTTATTACAGGAATTAATTCATGTGATTATGCAGGCTCAGAAGTCCTGCACAGGCTACAAGCTGGAAACCCTAAGATGCTGGCAGCATGATTCTGTCTCAGTCCAGAGGCCTCAGAAGTAGGGAAGTTGATGGTGTAACTTTGATTACAGCATGTTGTTATAATTGTTGTATTTTATTAATCATTATTAATCTCTTATTTTGCCTAATTTATAAAATATAAGTTAAACATTATCATAGGTATTTACTACATAGGAAAACTGTGTGTGTGTGTATGTGTGTCTACATACATACACACATTATCCCTGGTTTCAGCATCTACTGGGGGTCTTGGAATGTATTCTCCATGGATAAGGAGGGATTACTGCATTGATAATTTGCATTTTCTCCTTTTTTGCTTTTTTTTAGTCTTTCTAAATATTTATCAAGTTCATTGATCTTTTCAAAGAACCACATTGGGATTTCCTGGATTTTTCTCTGCAGTTTTCTGTTTTCAGTTTCATTGATTTCCACTGTCTATTATTTCCTTCCTTCTGCTTTTGTTGGGTATGTTTTATTCTTTTTCTTATTTCTTAGCATAGAAGCTTAGTTTTTAATTCAAGACCTTCTTTCCTAATATTTGTATTTTGTATTGTGTTTTGGTCATTGTGTTTTTCAGCTCTAAAATACTCATTTATTTCTTTTTTATATCTTCCATTTCTTTACTAAGACTTTCTACTTTTACAGTGGTTTCTAGTGTATCATTGTTGGAGTGGTTTTGTTGTTTTGAGGTTCTGTTTTAAGCATTGTAATGCCATCAGTTTCCCACTAAGCATTGATTTGACTGCATCATAAAAGTTTTCCTGTATTGTATTTTTATATTCACTCAGTTAAACATAGTTTTTAATTTCTCTTAAGACTCCTTTTACTCACTGATAATTTATAAATCTGTGATTTCTAATTTAATTCTATATTAACTAGAACATACATTGTATAATTCTAATTCTTTTAATGTTTCTTGCCTTAGGATATATAGTCTCTCCCAATGAGTGTTCCATGTATACTTGAAAATAATGTGTATTCTTTGATTTTCTGGAGTGTTCAGTGGAAATTCATTAGATGCAGTTGGTTGATGATGTTTTTCGGTTATTTCATCTGCTTGCTGATTTTCTGTCTCTAGTTCTGCCTGTTACCAGAATGAATGGTTTTTAATGAGAAACCTGCAGTTACTTGTATTGCTGTTCCCCTTTGGGAATATATATTGGGGTGGGGGGCTTGCTCTCAAGCATTTTTCCTTGTCTTAGTTTTTAATAACTTTGTTACGATACATGTGGGTGTGGATTACTCTCAGTTTATGCTGTTTGGAATTTGATGTTGTATTTTGGTCATTGTGTTTTTCAGTTCTAAAATACTCATTTGTTTCTTTTTTATATCTTCCATTACTTTACCAAGACTTTCTTGCCGCAATCTAGCTGGGCATAATTCAGGAGTCACTTATCAAGCAGAAACGAACTTTATTTTTAGAACATACACACAGCACCACACAGAGCTCTTCAGGAACTCCCTCAGAGCCCAACTGCCACCACCCACTTCCCACAAGCCTCTCAACACCCCCCCCTCCTTCCTGCTCTTGAGGCCGATTGGCTGGGTCATGTGGGTGGAGCCAAAATAGTCCCCCAATGAGCAGCTCCGTGGTCTGAAAGGGCGCGAAAACAGCCCAATGAGCATCACTGCAGAGGAGCCAATCAGCTGGCAGCTGGAAGTTTGCTGGGGCCCCTTGGCTGTGGCTCTCAACATCTGCCCCTCTCTGTTTAAACAACAAGCATGTGGCTTAGGAACTAAACCTGCCTTAGGTTGTCCAATACTACATATGGTCCTTACCCGTCATCAGATGAGCTGACCTTTAGGCGTCAGCCTCCTGTCTTAGGTTGGTACCATTGCAATTGGATCTCACCCGTCATTGACTACTGGTCCAGCATACAGCCACACCTGTGGATAGGCCTTTGTGGGGGGGGGGGGTGAGGTTCTTTGCCTTACCTCTGTTGGCCCCCAAATTTTAGCTGAATGACCATCACAAGCAGAAGGGAGGAGGATACACCAAGCCAATTGACAGCTCCTTTTGGAAAAATTGTACCACCGATGACACCATCAGTGAAAATACCCCAACACTACCACAAGTAACTGCACCAACAGATAGTTCACAATGCATACAAGTGATTCATAGTCCAGGCAAGTTCTGCAAGCAGTTCAGTGATAGCTATTGCAGAAGCTGTAGTTTCTAGTGTATTTGTGATTCATCATTGGTTTCCAGTGTATTTGTGATTCATCATTGGAGCAGTTTTTGTTGTTATTTTGGGGTTCTGTATTTTTAACATTTTTTTAGTTGTTGATGGACCTTTATTTTATTGGTGCTGAGAATCGTACCCAGTGCCTCACACATTCAAGACAAGCGCTCTACCACTGAGCCACAATCTCAGCCCTGTTTTTTTTTTCCCCCAAACTTGGAACAACAGAAGCATATTGTCTCATAGTCCTTGTGGCCAAGAGTCTGAAATTCAGGTGTCAGCAGGTGGGTTCCTTTTGGAGGCTCTGAGGGCATATCTGTTTCATGCCTGTCTCCCAGCTTATGGTGATTGTAGATAATCCTTGGTCTTCCTTGGCTTGCAGCTATATCCCTCCATTCTTTGCCTCTGTCCTCACATGGCCTTTTCTAATAGATCTTCTTTATGTCTTAAATCTCCCTCTGTGTCCTCTTATAATGAGACTACCCTAAATCCAGGATGATCTCATCAAAATCTTTGATTTACTTATACCTGCAAACACCCTATTTCCAAAGAAGGTTACATCCTCAGACACTGGGGGTTAGAACTTAGATGTATCCTTTTTTGATGGATAAATTCAGTCCACCACAAGAATAATTTATTTGTAACAGAATTTATTAATTTTAAGTATTTTGTTTGATTAGTTTTGACACACACATGCAGTAGGATAACTACTGCCTCACTCAGGACACAAAATACCTTCAGCATCCCAAAAAGTTCCCCATGACCTTTGTAGTCAATCTCTTCCCACCCCGAGTATCTGATTGTCTTTCTGTTACTATAATTTTATTTTTCCATCCTTTGTATCTGGCTTCTTTGACAACATAATGC